GAGTGGGTAGTAGCATTTTTGTTGCTATATCTAGCAAAGAATATTGGACCTAAGCATGTCCTTAAACTAATTCATCCCGGGCCTTGTCCGGACCTCGGGAGCCCTAATATAAAACAATAAGAGGGTATTTTCTTCTCTCGGGATAGAAAAAGATTTGGGAGGGATTTGGGGGGAGAGTAGGATGTTCGGGTACCGACACGTTAAAATAAGGAACACATCCGTAGAGTCCTTCGTCACTTCATTGTAAACGGACAGGCTACAAAGGCCCCTGTCGGAGCTTCGGTTAAATATTTTTAAGGATAGAAAGTGGTGAATTAATTTGGTTGTTTAGTTCTATGTAGCATTTTTGAAAAGTCGCCATCACATTGAAAGTCTCCCTAGGCCCATTCCGATCCATTTGACGTGCTCTACTGAATAGAAAGCCCTCTTTCCCCTTCCTCTCTTGGTCTTTGAGATAATGAAGTGAACTCCTATTTTCGGCTTTTCCAAAATTAGATTCTTTGAAAATGTAATTCTCAAAATTATTAAAATAATATCTAGCATTTTGCACACTATTTTATTATTTTTTTGAATTAATATATCATATATAATTGAAATCGAAATCAAGATGCATGCAACCAAGAGCTTATTTCAATTGGTTCTTGCTAAACGACTGCCTCCCTCCGGGCACTTGTTAAGCATACTTAATGAGGAAATTTTTTGACTTTCATTGTACTGATTGCACATAACACAAGAGAGCCGACGCATTGGAAAATAGAATTCTTAATCGGCCATTTAATAAGTGTCCTCAAGGCATCATCTGTTAATAGAATCTTTCTTAATATGTTGATTTGTTACTCCACAAGTTTAATCTCTCGTAAGTTTAACAAAACATATAGGTAAAAAATAATAATTTGAAATGCAAGTTAAAACATATAGCCTATGCAGAATATGATTACGAAAGTACCATGCAATAAATCCACCTAATTTAAAAAATTTATAAATAATGAGAAGGTTTTGATTAGTAAATGAAGTTTTGCAAATTGAAGGAGATAGTGAGTCCAGTTCTCAGTTTCGGGTGTGGACTCAACCACCTAGATTGGACCAAACCAATTTTTTTTTATTGCCAAAAGGCTAGAGAAGAGAACAAAAACAAGATTCATAAACACACTTGCACTCAGCAAGAGTGTTCCGTTCCCTGCAAGAGTTCAAAAAATCGTTCTTTCCAATCCCTTTACCAATTCCAGTTTTCAATTCCCTGCCAGGGAATAGGAAAAAAAAGAAGAAGAAAGAAATCACATCGATTCTTTAAACCACCTGAGAACCGGACCAATGGGTTCAGTTCCAGGACTAGATGGGCCGACTCTCAAATCCACAAACTGGGAACCAACCCTTCTAGTCCAATTCTCGGTTCTAGAGTGGGTCGATTCCAGGGTGGGAATCGGCCTACTCTGGAACCGATCACCCTTAATTGTTAGGTTCGACATCTTTGGTATACCTAACGACCGTGAATAGAGCAACGCGTAATTGACATAAATGGCCTCGTCCATTCATAATATATGGCATTTCATAATGCAGAGACGTTTGACTAAAATTTCACAGTAAGTGTACGACCATGCAAGAGACAAATGATGTTTAGGTAGACGTTGATTGTTGTAATTTAAATATTCTAAGAAACGAAGCTTCCAGCTGTTTTTCTTTTTTATCTTTTGAACCCAAATTCACTGTACTATTACCAAGCACGACAGGAATGACTCAAACCCTGCACGTGTTTCATAGCAACCCTAATAGGCGTTCCTGGTTTTTTCTTCTCCACCCAAAAATAGTTTCGTTTTTAGCATTTGATTAGCTGTGGACTTATAAAAAGAAGTTGACTTAAAAAAACAAGAGAAAATATGTAGAAATAATGCACCCTTTATAGAATTTATGTTTTCTTATTATAATTCGTGGGCACGGCCGTAGTTATCCGACTATTCGAAGGGAAACTAGCACGGTAGCTTGAGTTTCATTGCACAAGAATCGGACCCACAACCATTGGTTCCTAAACCGAAAACATGAGAACGTCCTCACATTATTTCAAAGTGGGTAATAGCATTTTTGTTGCTATATCCAGCAAAGAATCTTAAATATTTGGGTTAATATCACGAAAAACCCCAAACTGGTGAACTTGTGACAAATTTACCCTCCGTTAGTTTCCGTTAAATTTTACCGTTAAATTGCTGAGTTTGATGGCATGTGACAGTTGACGGGTGTATCAGTTTGAGGTTTTAGCCTTCATTTGTCACATTTGTATTAGTTTGTGGGTTTTCGTGGTATTAATCAAATTAAACGGAAACTAACGAAGAGTAAATTTATCACAAATGTACCAATTTGGAGTTTTTGGTGGTCAAAAAATTATTTTGGGGTAACTTTATCACAGGTGTAATGGTTCAGGGTTTTCGACGGTCAAAAAATTAATTTGAAGTGAATTTATCATAGGTGTATCAATTTGAAGTTTCTCATGGTATTGACCCTAAATATTTTTAGGAAAATGAGGGGGTGAATTAATTTGGTTGTTGAGTTCTCTGTAGCCCTTTTGAAAAGTCGTCATCACATTCAAAGTCTCCCTAAGCCCATTCCCATCCATTTGACGTGCTCTGCTGCATACAAAGCCCTCTTTCCCATTCCCCTCTTGGTCGTTTAGATAATGAAGTGAACTCCTATCCAATTGTTTTCGGCTTTTCCAAAATTAGATTCTTTGAAAATGTAATTCTCAAAATTATTAAAATAATTTTTAACATTTTGCGCAATCTTCATTATTTTCAATTGAGACTTGTTAAACGAGTGCCTTCCTTCGGGCACTTATTAAGCATACTCAATAAGGAAATGTTTTTACTTTCATTGTATTGATTACACATAACACTGAGGGAGCCAATGCATTGGAAAATATAATCTTTCCTTAAACGGGCATTTAATAAGTGTCCTCAGGGCATCATCCATTAATAGAATCTTTCTTAGTACGTTGATTTGTTGCTTCACAAGTTTAATCTCTCATGAGTTTAACAGAACATATAGGTAAAAATTAATAATTTGCAATGCAAGTTAAAACATATAGCCTATGCTGAATATGATTACGAATGTATCATGCAATATATTTACTTAAATTTAAAACTTTATAAACAATGAGAAAATTTTACCACCCGCCTGGGTGGCGTCGCTGGAGCGGGCGCTCTTCCTCTCGCAAAAGGTTGAGCGTTCGAATTCCGGGCGCCGCAGAGTGACTTAACCGGTGGCACGTGTGTGGTGGCTAGCACGTGTCGCCCCCAGGATTTACCCCCCAGCTGTCGGCCGTGCGGGGGTTCCCTGGGTTACCAAAAAAAAAAACAATGAGAAAATTTTGATTAGTAAATGAAATATTGCAAATTGTTGCGTGGAATTAATTTCCCCGTTACTTTTAAATTTATAAATCAGATAGAAAGGATATATAGAAAGTGCTTTTATGTGAGTCCATTTTATCTCTAGTCTATGAAGTTAATTTTCATTGAACAGAAAAATTAATAATCAAGCATGTACGAAATATGTTCAAAGGGCGACCGCCGCGAGAACATCACACTACCGATAACATTAAGCTAAACAAACGAAATTACTCTTTCGGCCCATGAAGCAATTCGGTGGCCCAAGTAGGCCCAAATTCATATTCTCAGTGACGAAGAAGCCGCAACGCTGCATAAAAAGGTATGCGCCGGTCGCGGTGCAATCCGGGAACTGGACCGGACTAGACCGGACCGAACCGGCCGGGTGGTACCCGAGGGGACCAGTCCGGTTCCCAATTCAAAAAATTTGGCACCAGGAATTACCGGTCCAGATACCGATTTCAGATAAGGAACCAAACCGATGAACCAGTCAAGATTTTTTAATTTTTTCTTTTTTTTTTATGCTGAAGCAAACCCTTATTAATAATTTTTTTTACCATTTGGGAAACTTCCACTTGAAGGGAATAGAATAAACCCCCCCAAAAAAAAGAAATCACCGGTTCTAGGGTTGGTACCAGAACCGATGATTTCTGGTCCAGTTCCAAGATTGGGTGGGTCGGTTGATCGATCTGGTCTGGTTCCGGGGTCGATCCTGGAACTAGTGATTTCCGGTCCAGTTCTAGGACTGTGTGGCCAGTTCCCGATTCCACAAGTTAGGAATCAATCCTGCCCAGTCCGCTTCCAGGTTCCAAGGTGGGAATCGATCCACCTTGAAACTGATCACCCTTAATAAAGACTCGTCCTTTTACCCACAGATCAGATTACTTTCGTCCCGCAAATCAGTCTCCGAGACTCAACGCTGCATGGCTCTTTCTGCGTGTTTGTGTTGGCGATTGTGTCCGTGTCTGTGCCATATTTCTTCACCGAGATTTGAGTTTCGCCAATGTAATTCCTTGTGCTTGTACGTCTTGTCGTGTGTTCGTCCTCATGTCGAATTGCGATGGTTGGAATTCTTAAAACGCCGTGCTGGCCGCGTTTATTGTTTTGAACGTCAAAAGTGACGTGCTTGTTGTGCTTTGGCTCGTATAGACAGTGTATTCTGGGGGAAATCTTTGTGCTGACTAGCGTATCGCACTTGTAGACTGAACTCGACCGCATCAAGCTAGATCGGTTGTGTAACCATTGGCCTTCTCCTCGCCGGAGTCGCCTCGGAGCACGTTTGCACTCTTCCACGAGGCGAACCAAATCCATGACCGTAGTGCAAAAGCTCACGTTGGACCAGGCGCCCTATAGGACGAGATTTTCCGGCTCGATCTACCGGCTATCAGTTTCTGCTCTTTTTAAATAGTGATTGCTGGTGGACGAATTAAGATATGAAGTGGATTGAATTGAAATGACCGTCCATCTTCTTCTGCAGTTGCACGAAGGTTAAGGACATAACTGAGCTTATCGCCTCCGGTCACGACAAGCTAGCCTCCGTGCCTTCTGGTGGTGGTGCTGCAGCTCCAGTGGCTGCTAATGGCGGCGGCGGTGCACGTGCTGCCCCAGCTGCTTCGGAGCCAAAGGAAGCGGAAAAGGTCGAGGTGAAAGAAGAGTCGGATGAGCCGATTCGATTTTTAGCGTTGGCAGTTGTTAGTTCAGTTGGTTGAAACCCTTGTATCGAGGGCAAGAGCAAGATCGAGGGAAAGTTTTCACGTTGGTTAGCAACACTTACGCCGCTACGCCTTTGCTTTATCGCTTTTCTATCGGTTCGTTTTCATTCTTTCGCTTTGCAGGACTAGGATTTTGGTCTCTTCGATTGGAGGAATAGCAAGGTGTCAAGCAAGGTGTTACCGACAACGTGCTTGTCTCCGCTGCCGTTCGATTTCATCGGAGCTTCTACTTCTTCCATGACTACATTTTGTTTCTTTGAGCTCGTCAGGACCGATCCAATCTCATTCTGTTCGTGTCGAACTCGGACAGCGTTACTGTCCTGATGCAAAACGTACCGTTCTTTCTGTCGCGACCGACCATGTGGAAAACGATGGTTCTCGGTGGAAAACAGATGCTTCCAAATGCGGCCTAATGCTGTTGAACAAACAAAGCAGGCATACAGAATCTGTGGATCCCAACTGCAGATTCGGGCAAATCTAGTGTTGGAAAGACGACACGGCTCGCGCGCATGTGATGGAATTACGGGCAGCGTTCGGGACTCGCGGCCATTGCACTAAAACCTCGTTCATGCTAAAGAGAAAACCAAAGCGACCTATAGTCCGCGACGCGACGGAGAAAGATGTCACGATCCCGCGCGAAACCACTCCTTTCGCCGCTGGTTTTTTGAGCACCCGTCTAATCTCTACCTGACGGGCGACGGATGGGATTTGTCGCGGAGGGTGCGGAGAAGAATCCAAGCAGAGGAATGGACGGATGGGAGGGAGGGAGGGAGGGAGGGAGGGAGGGAAGGTAAGGTGTGTCGGAGTGTTAGAAACGTGGATGGGACCGACGAGCGTCAGCAAATTCGGCGGTCGTCGAAGCGTCCAACCGAAGTTGACGGGGACGAGGGGACACATTTCGAAATGACCGGTTCCAATAGGCCTCCTTGCCGAGATCAATTATTGATGAGGATCGAGTTAGATCTTGAATGGGGGAGCCCTGGGGAAGAATTGGAAATTTTGCAATGGTGTCTTAGCTTGCTTGACTTAGAGAAGAGGAGATCGATGCCGCGCGTCTATTCGCGTGTCGGGGTGCCGAAAACGAAGAGGACGGTGTGGGGATTGCGTCGGGGACTCATTAGCCAGTGCCCCGATAGCATATTTGCTAACATAATTTATTATATCAAAAAGTTCGTGCATCCTTTTCTTCGTTCGGTTAATGTCTTGAGCTATGCAAAATATGCAGTTATAGAGGCGAGCTCGACGTAGCATTGAGCAAGTCCTTGTAAAGTCGATGCTATTTTTTTACGTGGTCCATGCCTAACGAACGCATCGGTAAAAGGCAAAAAACAAACATGGTAGATGCGAAAAGAAAGGGTGCGAATGGGCAATCAGCGTCGGCAACTCCCCAGGGCGTTGGCACAGGAGAGTTTTCAGACCTGTTATCGGAATGTTCGGTTTGAGGCAGAAACCAAACCGCCGCTCATTTTGAGTTCGATTGGTTTCCGCGCTACCTTCCACGGATTGCTATTTCTTCACACAGATCTCTGGTTCAGTCCCAAAATCACCCCTTCATGTTGAAAGAAACGATTAAACAACGACGACAAGATCACAGCCAAGCAAGGTAGGAATAAGCTCATATAAAAGCTCTGAGGTTCAGCACGAGAGAGAGAGAGAGAGAGAGATACTAGGCTTGTACTAGAACTTCTAGTTATAGCAGGAACTGCTGCTGCTGCTACAGCAGGGAAGCTTTTGTAACTTGTGAATTTTCTTTCTTTTTTGTACATGTAGCTCGTGATCAACATCAGTAATTTGAATACTGCATAGTATATGATTTCCTTATTTCAATTTCCCAGAGACAATTAGAGCTGCCATCTTTGACCAAATTCACCTCTCCCCTCTTGGTTGTTGCCTTATGCGGGGATTTTCAATTCAATGTCAGATGTCATCACTAATTTTTGACCAAAGAGTAGACCGAAAAGAGGGTTCCAAGATAAAATTTAATCATGTCATTGATGACCATGATGGCTAAGTTTTATAGTTATGCTCATCTTCCGCAGAGAAAAAGAAAAGAAAAGAAAAGAACAGAGAGTCTATACACAATCGAAGTTTGGCCTCCGGTAGAGACCTTAAAGTACAATAATGAAAGTTTGGTCACGGAACTCATAATTCTATGGTCCAGTCCAGTAATTTTCGGACCGGTTCCATATTTAGATACTAGGTTACGAGCCTCTTTGAAAAGTTATAAAGATTGTCGATATTATCATCGGTTGAAAAAAATTACGACATATGAGAATAATTACTCTCTGATAGGGGCTTTAAATTTGCAAACTCTAAAGGAAGGGTTACGATTATTGAGAAGAGTTACTTAAAATAGGAAAAAAAAAAGAGATTTAAAATAACTTCAGGTTGTTTATGATTTTTCATGAAATACGAATGTTAGATTATTCAGCCGTACGAAACTTTAAGGAAAACTACCACATACGAAGAACAGGTACCGAATTTACAAGGACGTTTAGGAAAACCGTATCGATTGACAACAACTACAAAGCGCAGCCGTCATCAATTACCAAGTGTCGGCATACTCACAGTATGTATTCTACAGTTTTAATTATCATCTACAGAAGTAAATCACACTAGTTATGATCATTCCATATAACATAAATTACAGGGTACTAACGACCCATAAAATTAAATTACCACCACTAGGTGCGACCGACTTCACGGTAATTTTAGTTAAATTACAATAAACTTAAGAAAAAAATGGCTAAAAAATCCCCCTTTTTTTTAAATTTTTTTTTTGCCTACCCTAGAAGGATGTAACGAGGGGGGGTGGACATGGAAGGTGAGAAATTGATTGGGAATGAAGTTTCTTTGATGCTTCAAAGCCACGGTAGAGTCTTTTCTACATGTCACGTTTACTCCTCCTAAGAAGAAACCTGGACATTCCCTTCTCAATCTCTTGATCAGATTTGCATCCTCTATCAATGCCCAAAAAATGCCGCATTTCCTCTTTCACCGCACTAACGCAACTTACTAGATACTTCCCCTCCGAATTGTCTTCATTTTCTTTTTTTTTCGATTTCTCGTGTTCGCTGTCTATTTGATCCCGGAACCGGACTCGAGATGAGCTCTCGTTCTTTCTTAATAATGCCGAAAGAAATCGAACCTTTTTACCGCTCAATTATGTGCTCGATAAGACATGAAAAGCACAACGTTAGGTAAGGCGGGTACGAAAGTTGATTTACGAAATGACTAGCGAAATGACGTGACGAATTCTAGATAGGAATTGAAATAAATGAACCGTGTTCAGACATCTGCAAAAATTTTGATTGTAGATTTAATAATGGCATAATTTCAAAAATCAGCCCCATTTTTCACATGACCAAAGTTGCATCCCTTCATTTTTGAAACCTACAATTTGCATCCTCGGTTTGCGACTAGGGATGCGTTTGTTTTAGTGAAAGAATTTTTCTAAAATTAGTTTTTTGAAATTTCACCTGTTTGGTTTGCTGAAAATGGTTTGCCAGTAGAAAAATATTTACGGTCGAGAAAAACATGCATTTAAAATTAGGAAAACGAATTCTCGTCTATAACTAGAGGAAATCATTTTCCCAAGCATAACAACTCTCTTAACAAAACGCCTCGTTTCTTCGTCTTCTTCGATACCCATTATTTCAAATGACATCCAAACACCCGTGAAACGATGGCCGTAACACTTTTTTCTCAACGTATCACTCCATTTTCGTTGAAAATGATTCCCACGGAAAGCATTTTACTTTATTACGAAAATTCACGCGAAACAAACAGTGCCCTACATTTCAAATTGAATCCAGCGTCCATCGTGGTTTCGTTTTCAGTATCTCGATCTTCCGAATTGCCCCTCTCACTTTTCGAAACTCGCCCACAACATGGAAAGAAGTCCTTCGAACCAACCCATTGCTCCGCCGCTTCTCCACCCCGTCTCCGACATTGCCGACGGCCGCCTTGTGGCCGCGACGGTCCCCTCAAGTCACGCCGCCGCCTCCAGCCCCTCCGACAACACCGGTCATGGGGCGCAATGCAAGGGCGGCATCCCCGGCAGCGACGGACGGAGGAGAGAGAGAGAGAGAGAGAGAGAGAGAGAGAGAGAGAGAAGGGGAGAGGGAGGAGGGGGGCGTGTGTAAATCGATCCTTTTATAGTTTGGGTCTCGACCAAAAGATGCAAAGAGATAGCCGTGAGAATTCAAAACCGAAGGGTGCAATGCAAAATCGTTCTTGACCCGGAATTAAGAAAGGTGGAACCAATCTATCTCGATTTTCTTTCTCTTCTTTTTATACACGAAATTTCTGGTACAACAACTTCATCACATCACCATGCATCATGAAAAAAAATATCTCGAATCACGTACATCACGTTCATCATGACACATGACCATCGTCCCTTTCGCCTCTATTATTGAATACTTCACGTTTCAGAAACGACATATCAACATCCTCCATCGTTCGGGTCGAACCCGCGACCCGTATCCGCCGTCGACGTCGAGCCGGTCCAAGAACGCATTTAATCTGTTTTCCCAAATTAAAAAGAGCCGCGAAAAAGCTCAAATCCGTACTTATTCGATACATTTACCTTCCGTCAATATTTCATTAGATGGTTTTTCAGCTAAAATAAGGTCGTTTTTTTTTTATTCCATTTAAGCCAAGTGGACATGACCATGTCAACACTCTTTGCTTTCTAGCGTCCATATAGACGGACTCTTTATGGTTTTTATTGATAGGAATTTTGGTGGAGAGTATATGTGCCATACGACGAGTACAAGTTTGCGATTTTTGGTGTCGCGGAAAAAAAAGATGTACAGTAAATGTGTCACAATGAGCATAATTTAGAGTTTTTTGAGCGCAACGAGGTATGGTCGGTCACGACTCCCCTAATCCACGTCCCGCGACTTGATCCGCTTGCATCCGGCCCCCCGGCAAATTATTATTTATTTTTCGGCCCCCCCCCCCCCCCCCCCTCCCCCCACTTTCGAGCCATTTTAATTGCGTTTTGAGCATATGGAATTAAATATGAATTCTCCTTTCGTAGGGGTCCTCGCTACTGTTTTTTTTATTTTTTTATTTTTTTATAGGGGCGGCCCTTTTCGTGCGGCCGAATTTTTTAAACGAAGTCAAAATCGAGCTACGTGATGGCTGGCCCATCATCAATCGGACAAAAGGGAAAATCGAAAGGATTACAAAGGTGGTTGTGTCCCTCCTTTGGATGGTGGTGGTTCCCCATGATGGCCACGTTCCTAATGATGATTAACGTGAAGGCCAAAAGGCGAGGGGAAATTCCCAATTTGCACCCCCAAATTAGACACATTTTCTCGAGAAGGCACCCCAAAATGGAAAAAAATTACCGAAACGGCCGTGAACCTATTGTAATTGTGCCAGTTCAGTCCATTCCGGCCAGCACCGACATGGACGATAGCTGTCCTACGTGGTGTGGCGGGAGCTGACGTGGACAATTTTTAATCATTTTTCGAATTTATTTATTTATTTATTTCCCTTTATTTTTCTTTTCTATTCTCTCTCTCTCTTTTTTTTTTTCTTCCCTTCATTTTCAACCTCTAGTCGGTTGCCGGAACTCGGCGACCGATTAGAGGCGAAAGGGCGAGGCTTGCCCACTCCCCCTCGTAATGACATTCATCTCGAACGACCTTCAGATTGGACCACCACGTTCTAGATAAAACCCAAACCTCATTGTCGATAGACCCGTCAAATGGATGGATCGGATCGGATCGAAAAATGGTCCGACCCAAATAGATCGATTTAACTCGTTTTTGACATACGTATGTGCAATGGAAATCTAGTTACCCATACCCGAACCATATTACTAAAACACTTTCTCATTTAACTCAATTTAAGAAAACTCATACCCAAATTGAGGTAAAAGTATGGAGTGAATTAACGCGAGATCGAGTAAGGGTAAGAGAGAATGGAGAGAGAGTCAAAGAATGGGTTGGGTACGAGTAAGTTGTAAACCTATTTTTGATCCATTTAACACTCATATTATATTTAAACCCATTTTGACCCATTTACTGAATATAACTAGCCCATATAATAACTCAGTCCATCATATATATGATTTAAGAAATGAGTTTATGACACATTTTGCCAAGACTAATTGCTAGCAACGCAAAAGTCCTCCAAGTACCACATAATGGCCGCCGCGTGCTCGTTTGATACCATTAATGGGGGCGCATTTTCGGCGCTTCTAATCGGGAGCGGCAAGGCGTGTGGGGGGGGGCCATTCGGAACACGGCAGTCCAATCAAGAGGTCGGTCGAGATGAACGCCGCTCTCTCTCGGGCTCTTTCGAGGGAACGCGTCCGGCCCGAAATGCATTTCGGAATTTTTCCCAAAAAAAAAAGGCAACAAGCATTATAGTCAGTCACCAGTAACTTTTTTTTTTTTCCCATTTTCATTTTTTTTTGGGGGGGTCCCAAAGTCACCGGAATGAACGGTGGTTAAAGGGTAAATTGAATTTTTTCTTCTAATACAATCAACATTCAATGATGCAGCTGAGGATCAGTTGGGTTTGGTAAAATCTATCATGATGACAGCAATGCTTTGTTTGTGTTCCCTTCCTTCTCCGATTCTGACTTTTTCGTACCAACAAGTTAAGTGAGGCCCAACGTGTTTTCCATGGACACTGTGTTGCAGCTGGTAAATCAATGCATTTTCATGACAATTTTTTTCTGCTCAATGGAAAGTTTTCCTTAGTGTATTGATTATTGATTCATTTTATTCTTCCGCGAGTTAAAAAAAAAAAAGGCAAGTTTATAGCTCGGTTTTTATCCTTCGTAGGAGTGTTGTTGTTGATCTCGAAAATTAAGATGAATCTATATCTTGTTCACGTGTTATGGTCTAGAAGCATTTTGATGATCGATCTGGTTTCGATATAGAGATCGATCTTGCGTTGCACAACTTATTCGCTGTTGATTCTTGTTGTGCTTATTTAGGATCCGCCATAATTGAGAACTAAGATATATCGAGTGGGTTATATATATAATGGGTTACATGTGCTTATTTAGGGTCGCCGAGGCCTTGGCGATGGCCGGTGAGGGTCGCTCGGCGGCCAAAAATTCAACAAAAAAAAACTGAAAAAGAAAGGAACAAAATAAGAATATATATATTTTTAAAAATGACAAAATTATTCACGTCATCATCGGTTATGTCACGTAGGATAACCCGCACGTAAGTATTTCTCGGCCAAAATTGGTCAGGATAACTCTATTGGCAAGTCGTCAAAAAGTTCAAGACTAAATTGGCAAAATCGAAATGCTTAAGAGCAAATTGGCCGGCGTACATTAGACTTGGGATTTTTTTTTGGACAATTATCCCATTCTTCAAAACACAGCTCAATTATCTTCACGTCGAACCCTCTTTTAGGTGAGTGTAAACACATCCATACAATAGGTATCACATGCCGCGCTTATTAAACTTAAGCCCGCAATTTCTTATTTGGTATTTCTATAATTTAAGTTGTTACGTAGCGATGCAAAGTCTTACCTACTTTGAGGTGATCTAGGGCGGTGCCCACCCCACATTTACCAAAAAAAAATATATAACTCTCGATCATCCCCGTGCTTTTTCGTCGGATTCCATGCCATGTGCCCATCAATACAAAGTACGATAATCACCTGCGATTCTTTGGCACGTCGGTTGCGATACGTCGCTCCCATCGCATGCCAATAATAGCAGTAAAATTCCCACATGCAATCCACGTCGCGATCCATAGTAGACCAACAAGGCGGGGAAGAAGAACCGAAGCGACCGATCACATCACAGCCCACTCTGCTCCCGAAACTTCTCGCCTATTCCAAAAGTAAGAAATGTATTCGAATTTGTTTGTGTAATCGTAGCACCTAACCTAACAACGCCAATTGCAAAGCGCGAAAAACGGAGGGCCAACTAGCTAGGGTGGCTATATTAGCCCCCGAGCGTTGTCGCTAATTGTGTTCCCTCGATTTGTACACATTACAATAATTAAGCAATAATGGCGGGATTTGACCGATAATTATGAGGAGCTCCCATCATCCATCGGTCAATTACAAGCGGGATTCTGATGGTAATTGGTAACGACTGGTGAAAAGATGCTTCTCCATCCATCCCCATTCTTTTTTTTTATTTTTTAATTACCTCCCAAGCCCCCAGGTTCTGCAGGCAAAAAGAAAAGAACCGAATCTTCTGCTGCTTGCTGCTGCCTAAAATATTTCCATCGGTCTTATCACCAAAACAAAAAAAAAATTTAAAAAAAATAATCATGCGTTTTTCCAAATATAAATTTACTTGAAAAAGGATTCATCTCCATCTCCTCATGTCGTGTCGACACTGTGCAACGCGAGATCCGAAATGCTTCCTAATTTCATTAAAATAATAAAGTAATGGCAGATATAGATAATGGTCATGAGGAACCCGAGGCAAATTAAAAAGAAAAAGGAATACTTTTCACCAAATTCAATTTTCGTGCCCCCCCCCCACCACCACCACAAAAAAAAGAAGAGAAAAGAAAAACCCAAGAACATTTCTCTTGCAGCTCGCTTGAAAACAATTTAAAAGTATTGAAAATTTTTCAGTTCGATTTACACGCTTTTATTTCCGAAGGAGCATAGGCTAGAGCGAGAAGTCCTCGGCGGGTACATTTTCCCGAACCGAATTAAATGTCGAGCTCGTTCCGATAAAAGGAAATGGCGACACCGCGGTCCCGCGAAATGCTAGCATTTACGCATAAGCTATATTAGCTATAACGCCGTGTCGGCAAAAAAGAAAAAGAAAAGGAGAGAAGAATAGAAAAACCACACGGTTTTGAAAATTACACGCAGCTAGCTCTTCGAAAGTGCCGTGGGCGAAATTCTCTTCGAGTGCCTCGTAAGAAAACACTGCGCCCCGCTCCCGTAACCGAAGCTATCGAAAAAGTAAATCACACCAAGAAGACGAGAAAAAAAAGAAAAAGAAAAGCTCGACGAACTATTCTACTCAGCAACGAAAATGGATCTGTGACAGCCGAAATTTCGAAAATGGGAGTTGTTGTTTGATGGTCGCTCTCAACCTCATCGTGCCCCGCAGCTTCCCCCATCCCCCAAAGAAAAAAGAAAAACAGTTTCAAAAAAATCGAACGAGGAGACGGAAAAATAAAAATAAAAATAAGCACCGAAAGATACGAGGGGGGGGGGGGGGGCGTGCCTCGAAATGAAAAATTAAAAAGTGTAAAAAAAGAAAAGAAAAGAAGAAGAAGAGAGGGAGGGAGCACGCCTATTTCTTTTTTGAAAGTTTGTGCTCTCCCCATCTCCCTTCGTCTCCTATTTTAAATTTTATATTTCATATTTATATTTGTTTGATATAGATAGACACTTTAAAATTTCATTTTCAGTCAGGTGCCGTATTCATTGTCGCTCTCTCTCTCGCTCTCGGTCTCTCCCCAACCCAACCCACGCCCCATTAATTCAAAAACTTCTCTCCTCCTCTTCTGCCAGTTCTTCTGACCTCTTTTAGAGAGAGAGAGAGAGAGATTGAGACTGAGATTGAGATTTGATGAGAGAGAAGGGAGAAGGGGAAGGGGGGGGGGGTGGGGTGGGGTGGGGGTCCCACAGGAAGGGCAGACAGGGTGGGCCCCCACCATCTTCAAAATAATCAGAGCCCCCCCCCCCCATCCCCCCAGTCATGGCAAACCAAAAAAAAAAATAAAAAGAAAGGAAAGAAAGAAATAAGAGGAGAGAGAGAGAGAGAGAGAGAGACAGACAGACAGACACACCCACCACCACTCTCTCCTCCACTCCACCGTCTCTCCCTCTCTCCTTCCTTCTTCGCAAACCCCCCCTCCCTCCCTCCCCTTCCCTCCTGTCGTCCGCCCGCCTAGGGTTTTTCCCGGCTCCCGAATCTCGCTCCCCTCCCTCCTCGGCTGCTGCCCCGCGGCAATGCCGCCCTCCTCCTCCTCCTCCTACTCCGCCGGCGGCGGCGGCGGCTCCTCCCCCCGGCGCGGCCTCGATCGGATCTCGGCGCTCCCGGTGCTGTGCTGCTCGGCGGTGCCCCTTCTCTGATTCGGAGCTCACGGTACGGCCCTCGCAAGCCCCCGGTTTCGCCTCCCTCCCTCCCTCCCTCGCAGATTTGCTCCAGCTCCCGCTTCTTCTTCTTCTTCTTCTTCTTGTCACCTACTGGCTCTGCCGTGGTTGAGCTGATCCTGCTACGCGGAGTCCGTGCTGGAAACCCGCGCCTCGATTGCTTTCGCCGTCCGTTTCCTCCTTCATTTTTTTTTTAGGTAATCGCGTTCGGATGTGTGTCCTGTGGCTCGATCTTCGACTCGGCACCAGCGACAGCGAGTCGCGCCTTCCTGGTTTTTCGTCTTTTTCTTTTCTCTCGCCGTCGCGGAATTTCTCGTGGGAGTTTTTTTTTCCGGCTTCGCTTTTGAAGCTGGATTTGACGGCTCTCTCCTGCTTCTGCGATACAGTAGAGTCTACGGTTGAATTTCATGCGGTAAAATCACGAATCTTTCCTCATAGGACGAGTGGTATGGTGCCGTCACTTCTTCGATGCGGAAGAAGTTTTATGCTGATTCTTGACCGAACAATGGGAGCTCATTACCACCGTGTTGCTTGCAAAATCGAACTATTGAAAAAAGAAAAAAGAGAGGCAGATTTGTTAAATTTCAAGCGGTACAAAGTCCAAACGGGCTCCATTGTTCTTGATTACCCCTTTTGCTTCAAATGGTTATGGGTTGGGCGATTTCAATTGGTTTTTGCCTATTTCTTTTTTTCGACGTTGGTTGTCTCATTTTCGGGATTGTGGGTTGCAGGGGTTCGAAATCTTGAAGAGGAAAAGAAGGCCGTAAAACAATTTCTGACGTTTCTTGTGTGAAAAGATCTGCGTTTCAAGGGAAACTTCATCAGAAAGACTGCCAAAGTTGTTCGCGATTGGTCCCCTTGTTCTACTGAGAGGGATTCAGTTCCATAGTATCCTTTGAGATGGGTTCGCTTTCCAGAACTTGCGAAATTTCTGAGGTAATGGATGAGCCGACTTCTGTTCGGCATTCTAGAGGAACTTCTGGGTTTAGTTTGGACGATAAAGATGGAAAACTGGCCGTGCTCCGACTAGGATCCAGGGATTCTCTAGAAGATGATATTAATCAGCTCTTTGAATCGTTTAATCTTAGAAGTTCCTCGCGGTGTATGAGTCCTGCAAACCAGCTAGGCTCGAGTCCTCTTAGAAAGAATGCTTTGAAAAAGCCCATCACGGTAGGAGTGCCTCGGTCGCCTGGATTTGGTCATTCCGAGCCCGTGTCAATAAAGCAAGCTTTGAGAGATGTTTGTTTGTCCAAGGCATCAGAAATGGCCGCCATGAAACGATTGTCAAAGCGTCCATCTACTTCAGGAGTCTCCGAGGCTGGAAGGATTAAGACATTATACGATACCAAAATTGTCGAAGTCAGTGATTCAGGACCTTCCTCACAGGAAAGGAAGGGGAGCATGGTGGAAATATCTTTGGTGCCTGAAGAGGGCAGCTCAAGCTATTCTGGAAAGAAGGTGTCTCAGCAAGTTTGGATACCCGAAACATCAAATCGCAATGCTCAATCTTCACTCCAACATGTGGTTGGAGTAATTCCTCATGGCATTCGCAGTACGGATCCTATAGTAAGTAAAAACGAGGTAGTTTCCGGAAAAAAGAGAATTGAAAATCAATCTCGATTTGCTGGATCCGTGGATACATATAGTCATTCGACATCGTCTTGTTTCACAAGCTCTTCAAAGGACGTAACCGGGGATGTTCAACTGCCCACGTTAAAATCGTCCAATCAGACACCTCGTTCTCCTCAATTAATAGCTCCAACATTGCCCAAAGGTACTGCTAGTATTCTAATGCAAAGGGATACCGTCTGTAGGTCGAATAAGGTTGGAACTGAAATATTGAAGGTGGAGACGTCCCCTGAGGAGGAGTGCACACAGGAATCAACATCTTCTCAATATTCTCCTGCTGCAGGGGGTCAAAATTTTGAGCCACAGGATGATGTCGCCATCTCAGCCAAAGCAGGTAACAAAGCTTCACCATCGAAACCGGGACGTAAAGGAAGAGTTCAGATTTCGCCTTCATCATCTGGTTCAGTTAATGTTAAGAGAGTTGGCAGATTGGGTAGGAGCACACCTCGCGCTGGCAAAACTGTCATCAAAAGTAAAAGTGTTGCCAAAAGGAAGTCGAAGTTGGGTAGTTCTGCTGTTGGCAACACCGAAACACAGGCCGAAGCCAGCAAACGCACAGTTACCAGTACAGATCACCTAATTTGTCAGAGATGTCAGTGTTCTTTGGTGGGTTCAAATAATGAGTCTAATCAAACTCATGCATCCGCCGAGGGCCCCAATTCAAGATCCGGAGCAAATATAACGAACATTGAACCGGGTTTGAGCAGGCCAGAATTCATTCCTAGCATTCCCAATGGCAGCAAAAAAGATGTAGTAAAAGCAAAAGTGAACCTGAAGCTGAGAGATAAGGGCGAGTTCTCTCAAAGTTCGAAAAGCAGCATAGGTGACTTTAGTAGCAGTACCACAAGCATGAGTGACGAGAGCAATCTCAGCAGGTCTAGTTGCAGCAACAGGCCTCACATGTCAAAGGACGTCAGATGGGAAGCCATCCGTCATGTGCGTAGACAACATGGAGCCTTGGGGTTGAAGCATTTCAATCTTTTAAAGAAGCTCGGTTGTGGAGACATTGGCACTGTTTATCTGGCAGAATTAATTGGTACAAATTGCTTGTTTGCCATAAAGGTGATGGATAATGAGTTTCTGGCGAGAAGGAAAAAAATGCCAAGGGCACAAACAGAGAGAGAAATATTGAGAATCCTGGATCATCCATTTCTTCCAACTTTGTACACTCAATTCACATCAGACAATTTATCGTGTCTAGTTATGGAGTATTGTCCAGGTGGAGATTTGCATGTCCTTAGGCAAAAACAGCCAGGAAGGCATTTTCTTGAACCAGCAGCTAGGTGGGTATTTCTTGAAAGTTCATGCATTATATCATTTATGATTACTCTAGCAATTTACTTCACTGGAATGTTTCCCTACTCTTTGTCTATAAATAGCACACACTGTTAATTTTTCTATATATCCTAAAGTGTACATGCATGAGATTTACTTACTTCAAGTTGTGACTGATCTTCCGTGTCTTCGAATAGCTATATATATTTGCTAGTTTTATTTACAATAGTCTGTCTAGATGACTACCGCCTTCCTTTCAATTGAGTCAAATCCTAAATAGGATGTACCTGTCTTAATTTTCTTACTAATATGCATTGTGATGGCCAGTGTCTGGATCTTGGTCTTCGTCTATGAATTCAACCGCGCTACCATTGATTTGATGCCTAGTGGTCATTTCCTTTCTTTATATCTTCAGTAAATTGGTTTCCTACCTGCATATCTAACTCCAGATAAAGTTGACTCCTTATCGAGCTTTGTATTCCTGTTTTATGCCATGTCACTTTTGAAGAGGTTTAAATTCCACGATTATGGTTTACCTATCTATGGTAGCTGCATCATTAGCTACCATTTCTTTCCCCCTCGAATTGATTTTGTGAGGCAAGGTTGTCCATCCCTTTGATAAAGATAAGCATTGGATAGGATGCATACACCACATTATTCTTATATTTTGCTTAGTTATTGAGCATGTGCTTCTGTCTTTTCTGGGATTTGCAGGTTCTACGTCGCTGAAGTCCTTTTAGCCTTGGAGTATCTGCACATGCTTGGAATTGTGTACCGTGACTTGAAACCAGAAAATATTCTTGTCCGTGAAGATGGCCATATTATGCTTACAGATTTCGACTTGTCTCTTAGATGCACTGTCAGTCCAACTCTCCTTGAATCATCTTCCATTGCTGAACCTGCCAAGGTTTCTGGTCCATGTACAGAGTCGAGTTGCATCGAGCCTTTCTGTGTGGAGCCAGCTTGTCGAGTTCCTTGCTTCAGCCCAAGGATCTCACCTGCTTCAGCTAAGACACGGAAGGCAAAAGCTGATATTGGAACCCATGTTAGATCATTGCCACAGCTTGTGGCTGAGCCTACTGACGCGAGATCCAATTCTTTTGTCGGGACCCACGAATACTTGGCCCCGGAGATCATCAAGGGGGAGGGTCATGGAGCTGCAGTGGATTGGTGGACGTTTGGAATTTTTCTCTATGAGCTTCTCTATGGTAAAACACCCTTTAAAGGTCCGGGGAATGAAGAAACCCTAGCGAACGTGGTGTTACAGAGCCTCAAGTTCCCGGAATGCCCATTTGTGAGCTTCCAAGCTCAAGACCTCATAAAGGGATTGCTGGTAAAGGAGCCCGAGAATCGTTTGGGATCAGAGAAGGGGGCTGCGGAAATTAAGCAGCATCCCTTTTTCCAGGGCTTGAATTGGGCTCTAATACGTTGCGCCGTTCCACCAGAATTACCAGAGTCATTTGAATATGGAGTTAAATATATGGGGGCTCAGGAGATGAAGAGCAACTACCTAGATTGTAAAGCTACGGCAGAGCATTTGGAGTTCGAGTTGTTTTAGTGGTAAAAACTCTGGTCCGGGTGAGGCTAGTGGAGTTCCGTTTGAACTTCCTACTCCCGAAAGCTCGAGTTCGGGTCTTGTAACTTGTGCGTAGCTCACGATGTAAATTCGGTCGCAGATGTTGGAATGATATAAAGCTTAAAGCACGGAATATCAGAGGAGAGTTTAGTCGATAATTGCTCTTATTGATCATTATTGATCATCTGCTGTAAAATTTTTGAGGAAGCAGCTTTCCTCCCCTCTTGGTGGTTGGGGGGGGAGGGGGGGTTGTTTTGCGCTTACAGTTTGCTTCTGTCTTATGGCTTTTCTCCCCCTGGACTCCATCTAATGGCTTATCATCAAAGCTTTTGGTCATTTGGAAATGCAGAGACAAGCAGAGTTCAACACACGACAGGGAATAGAAAAGTTCAAAATAGGCACAAGCCCATGCTGGAGTTTCCTTTGGTCCTACTCCATCTTTGTTCAGTGGACATTGCTGGAGTTGCACAAATCTTTCTTCTAGCTGTCATCTTCTTCTTGCCGACTGCCCATCAATCGGTGCACCGGTTGCTTTCTCCACAAGCATGCATGAACTTCATACCAAGTCATTATCACTGTCCAAGCACAGTTCATCCCTTGGACTCATAGCTTGCGGTCTGGTTTGCCTTATCTTTCTTGTAAATCCACAAATCCTGAAGCTATCGTCTTCTCCGATCAGCCCTCTACAGCTCCGGGGTTTCTATCGAGAGTGTCCAGATCGCATTGCCTTTTGCTTTTTCCTGCTAATGACATTACTCTTGCTCGAAATTCCGATTGCACTGCTGCAATCATGAAGAAGTAGACGAAATGTGTAACTTAATTAATGTTTTTCCGGTGCAATCTAGGCTGTTTGGACTGGCCATTTCCGGACCCTCGAGACTTCATGTAAGCAGCATTCGTATGCAAAAATGGGTAGTTACCGTGTCAAAAGTCTTCCCTTCCCTGGGGCTAAGGTGCATTGCTATAATTCAAATCTTAAACCGTATTAGGAGTTGCCACCAAATATCCCATAGGTCGACGGGGAAACCTAAAATTCTGGGCGTTAGGGGAGAGTCAACGAATCGAGATCAAATGGTCTATCGGAACTAAAAATCTAGGTTCGGGAATTCGGTTATGCGTAAAGAAGGGTTGAAACTCCCATGTTGCCTTTTCGATATCACGTTTCTTACTTAAGTTTCATCCTGCGATATTGCGAGATTTCCTAATTTTATCGTCCATATGGTTTTTCTTATAGGTTGTGAAAACTGAAAACTTCACCGCCCGCCCTCAAGTGAAATTGCTACATCATGCGGCGGACTGTGCGATCAACATCTTTTCAAAAATATGCAATGCACACATGCAGCCAAATTCAAACAAACAATGGACGAATCCAATCCATATCAACCAAGCATTTGAGCAACGGGCATGAATCCAAATGTCGAAAAGCACACGAGGCAGCCAGCACAAGCAGTCAATACACCTAATGTATGACGAACCATATGATATCTAGAATGCAAATAGTGGGGACGAATCCAGTTCGTGAGTTTAAATCAAAACCAAGAAGGACATAACAGCTTGCAAATCGGTATAGTCGATCGGCATTTCATTCAAACCAGCCTTCATATCAACGAATTATTCAATCATTAGTTCGAATTTGATCAACGGTTTATTTGATCTAACGAGTAGTTTCAATTCAATAATTCAAATCAGTGTGACCGACATTCAATGTACTACCAAACCACGCATGCTTATTTCAACCGATATGCTATATCAATCCGCGTTAAACACAAATTTGAATGATTTTTCACATGAGAATTCAATCGGCATGTAAAGACATTCAAAGCAACGAGCACACAATTCACATATAAGATTTTGATGAAGTGATTTTGAAATAAGGTAACTGGTTTAATCAAATTGGATTAGAATTTTGTTCTTTCCACCTTGTTGGGAGCATGTAGCAAAAGCCCAATACCTTCATCTGAAGAGTTCGCCAAGGGAATCCGAGCCCATCAATATATTCAGTTGGACCACCTTAACTCGAAAGCTTAATCTTATGTGTTGTGGGCCAACTAGGATAATATTAATTGCTCCACATTCCACCAATTCTCCTATATGAGATTTTCTAACACAGCTCAAACGTATATCTCAACACACCTATACATATTGAAATAGCCACATACATGTGGCTTGTCGCAACGCTTGAGCAGGCGCCACGTGAAGTCATGTTGATTTTTTGTTTTTGAAAAATGACAATGATATATATCTTAAGTTTTGATCTAACTCTTTCATCTGACATCTAATCGACTTGATTCTTGCGCTCACAGTGGCAAGCTTGCGACCCGAACTTTCCAAAAAAGCAGTCCAATTTCTTGAAATGTCTCGGGATCTCGAATTTATGTGAAACGGGCCGATGGATGGTTGAGATAAAAAGTCATGCTATCTTCTTCGAGAAAATTCCGATTGAAGTAATTCTCGAGGTATTGGAAACTTGCATGACCTCATCAATCGATCAATGAAAGTCCATCAAGATTGGACAACTCTTGTTAAAAGCCGTGATATCCAGCGATCCAATTGAGGCAAACTAGGTATTGTTGGAAAGCACTAGCAGAGCACGACTCAATGGTATCCCTCAATCGTAATTGTAATTATCTCGATTTTCGATCGAAGTTCGATGAAACTTTGGTACCAAATTGGGTGTCTACATAGAGCTAAATCAATTACATTGGGGCCACACACGATATTTATGGCCTAATACCCTAAAAAATCTTTAACTTAAGTTGTAGTCCCAATTTTATCTTAAACTTTTTTTACTTCATAAAAACCCCAAACTTTTGGTTCACTCCCAATTCTACCATAAACTTTTTATTTTGTCTTACAAAATACAACCAACTTTAAGTCCACTCCCAATTCCGCCATGAACTTTTTTTGTCTGATAAAAATACCATCAACTTTTACCTGAATCCCATATTTGCCCCCGTTAATCCTCTATCCAAAATTGCCCTTAGTGATGTGGCATTTCCACATCATTACCCTACTTTTTTTCCCAAGTTTCATAGACAAGAAAATGTCTTTTAGAGATAAATTTCCATGTCAGCTCAAATGACGTCTTATTGGATCTGAAATTTGGGTAAAAACTAGAGTAATTAGGGTTGGCTTTCTTCAATTGCTTGTACTCTTGAGAGAGTTTTTCTTTCATCTCTTTCGGAGAATTTCGATTTTGTGCTTAGTCTTCAATTTCTAGTACTCGAGAGTCTTCCAACTCTCATTATCATAGGTCACTCTGGGGCACTCGAACATCTCTCACTTGAAAGTTTTCTATCTCTCAGTTGTCAAGAGAAATTTTGGAAGAAGGGTTTGTTGGCGTAGATTTGGGACTCAAGCAAAAGTTTGTGATTTTTTATGAAGCAAAAAAAGTTTAGGGTAGAATTGAGACTATACCGAAAGTTAGGGGGTTTTTTATAAGATAAAAAAAAAGTTTATGGTAGAATTGAGACTAGACTTAAAGTTGGGGTTTTTTTAGGGTATCAGGCCCAATATTTGTTGCTATACGGAAGGGATGAGTTCACTGTCAGGATCTTTTCTTGCAATGCAAACACACCTAGTACCTAAAAAACCTCCAATTTTAAGTTCCCTAATTTTTTTTGTGTCATAAAAAATCTCTAACTTTAGGTACAGTCTCAATGCTACCCTAAACTTTTTTCTCTCATAAAAAACGCCCCAAATATAGGTCCAATCCTAATTCTACCATAAACTTTTTTTTTGTTTTGTAAAAAACCACCAGCTTTTTACTTTAGTCCTAAATCTGCTCTATTAATTCTTTGTTCAAAATTTCTCTTGACAACCAAGAGATGAAAGTTTGACCAAAACAAATATCCAAGAGATGGAAAACTTCCGAGTGAGAGCTGTTCGAGTGTCCCCAGCCGAGTGTCTTGAGCGTGAGCTATTCGACAATGAGAGATGGAAGATTCTGAGCACAAGAAATTGAAGATTGAGTGCAAAATCGAAATTCTCCGAAAGAGATGAAAAGAAGACTCTTTTAAGAGTAAGAGCAATTGAAAAAAGCCAACCCTAGTTGCTCTAGTGTTGACCCAAATTTCAAATCCAATAAGACATCGTTTGAGCTGACATGGAAATTCGTCTCTAAAAGACATTTTCTTGTCTATGAAACTTGGGGAAAAACTAGAGTCATGACATGGAAATGCCACGTCACTAAGGGCGATTTTGGATGGAGAAGTAACGGGGGCAAATATGAGACTGAAGTAAAATTTTGTTGTTCTTTATAAGATAAAAAAAAAAAGTTTAGGGTAGAGTTGTGATTGAACCAAAAGCTGTGGGTTTTTTATGAGACGAAAAAAAGTTCGATACCCACCCATGGGTAGCTCAGTTGGTTAGGGCGTACTTGGGATTGTGTAGTTAGGCGCACTGGTCCTAGGTTCGATTCCCCAGCTGAGCACTTGTGATTTAAGTGGGGGGCCATGGCGGTGGGTTGCTGTGCTAGTCTCCCCCGAGGAATAGTCGAGGTGCGCGCAAGCTGGCCCGGACACCTCGGTTACCAAAAAAAAAAAGTTCGATAAAATTGATACTCGAGTTAAAGTTAGGGATTTTTTAGGGTAATAAGCCAAAAAAAGCTGCTACTATTTTGTTCTTCACAAGTATTGTCTAAAAGTCTGTTAAGGCTCCGTTTGTTTCGTGGAAAATGAATGCTTTGAAAAATAATTTTCTAAAAAATGACCGCTTATATCTCATGCAAAAATTAATGAATGAAACATAGTTACATCGTCCACGAAAATGTTTAGACATAAATTGCTATTGATAATGAAAATATTTTTCACCGGCTAATTATTTCAAGCGACGACAAGCAATCAATGTTTAGGAAAATGTTTTGCAGATCGTTTATTTTTCGCGAAACAATCTGAGCTTAAAAACAACATATAAAACATACCAAAAAAAAAAAATTGCAAATTCCGCACGTGCGCGAGGGCCGCTGTTTTTCTAAACCCGGAGCGGAGAGATAAGTTCAAATAGGAGAAAACTCAAACCGTGTGAGGGTCCCCTTCGACGCTTCGTCGCCTCCCTTCTTTCTCCAGTAAAAGCCAAGCAGCACTTCTCTTCTCTCTCTCTCTCCTTCTCCTTCTTCACCGGTCGCGAATCTCCTTCCGGCGGCGAATCTCTCTCTTAACGAGGTAACCCCCCCTCTCTCTCTCTCTCTCTCTCTCTCTAGCGGCCGGTGTGCCTTGCTCGCCGCCGACGAGCTCTCGCCGGGAATTTCGCTTCTCGGTTTGCTCTTTAGATGGGGTTCCGATCTGCTCGTTCATGCGTCTTACGTCCCTTTTTCCCACCTCGATCCTGGGTGGAAGTCGTCCTCCTGCGACCATCTCTAGGGTTTGGTGTTTTTTTTTGCCCCTTTTGTTGCGTGTGGTTTGGGTCTTGTATGCAGCCCCCCCCACCCCGCACAGAAAATTAGGTTATGTAACCTCGATTCGTCGCATGGCCCAGTTTCTAAGTAGCGATCGACGTGCTAATGCTGCTGATGTCTTGATTCTCTGTGTTGAGAGCGTTCCGTATCCGGGCTGTGTTGGTTGTTTTGTCTTTGGCGTGGCGCTCTCTCTCTCTTCGCGGTCCTTTAGCGCGGGCGGGATCTTTCGGAGGGCTGCTTGGCCCATGTGGGTAGTGTAAATTTGGGTTGAAGCGCCGACGACGGAGAATTCTCCGCTGTTCCTTTCGCCGGGCTCCGCGTGTTCTCGTGTATCGCTCGCGAGGTGCTTTAGCCAGTTAAAATTCGTAGAGATTTCTAGTTTAATCGGCAAGAGCAATATTGGTTTCAATAGTTGATGGAACCACCGTGATATTAGTAAAGTAAAGGACGACCCTATCTATGTCAAAGATGTGTTTTGCCAGTTCAAAGGTCACAAGGCGCAGATGGTGAGCAGTTTTAACGGCTATCATCATTCGAGCTCCATTTTTTACTGGATCATGTGCTTTTAGGTGCTTTGGCCATGAAAGGAGGCACGCCATGTTACTTACAGTTTGGAATAATATAAATTCTGCTAGAGCAGGATTACAATGGAAATCACTGTGAACACATCCACTTTATCTATCAGCTCATTCTTCGTGCTGCAATCATTGTCCCTGCTGTTTTCTCCAATGCTACAGTATGAATGCTTTCAGAAAATCATTCCCCAGAAGACAATTGATATCAGTGTTTTGGAACTATTCGTGTTTCAGTACAGTTTTGAGGAAATTGTTAGTTTTTAAGACGACACCTCTTCTGCTGTGTCATCGCATTAACACCAACACCTCTCTCTCTCCCTCTCTGTCTCTCTCTCATGCACAGAACTCAAATATGAGATTTAAAATGTTGGGATTGCTTTGAACTTGATTATTGTTGATTGTGATGTTGCTCCTACGATCTTCTCATTCAGTACATGGTGGAAAGAATGTGGAAATTAGTTCAGTTTTTCCTACATAGAGGACTGATATGTGGAGGTTCCTGGGAACTTTGCGTTAGTCGATCCAGAGGTGACACAGAAGGAAGTTGAGAGGATGAATCCACTGATCATTTACTCTTGCATTTGATGCAGGTGTAAGTATGCCCAAGGTGAAGACCAACCGTGTCAAATACCCAGAAGGATGGGAACTGATAGAACCTACACTTCGTGAATTACAATCAAAGATGAGAGAAGGTTTGTTGTTCTTTGTTCTACTTGCTCGCCTTTCTGTTACTTATAAGAGTGTTGGTGATTATAAGTTGTGACAGAATGTTGATATCTTCTGCAATTTAACTTATTTGATCTTGTGATCTTCGTTTCTTCTTTGATGGTAGTCTTAAATGGTTTCTCGTGAAGTTGACATCTTTATGCTGATTTATGTGTTATGGCAGCTGAGAATGACCCTCATGATGGAAAGAGAAAATGTGAGGCTTTGTGGCCTATTTTCAAGATTGCTCATCAGAAAAGCCGATATATATACGATCTGTATTATCGGAGGAAAGAAATCTCAAAAGAGTTGTATGATTTCTGCTTGGACCAAGGTTATGCGGATAAAAACCTGATTGCTAAATGGAAGAAGGTTGGTCTTGCTTCATCCCATGCCAATGTTGCTGGTGTTTTCTGCTCGCGATTGTTTGGTTTGAATTGTGTAGTCATTTGTTGAACATTCTCTTTATTGAGTCTTTTGTTGCATGCATTCATGATTGTCAAGGACCTGATTTATATGTTTATAAACTGATGACAGCTTAGCCTATGAATCTGCTAATGATAAATTAATAATAATAGGCGATGAGTTTGTGATGTGCCTTGAGATGATTTGATTGGGAAAATATTGTTATGAAAGAAAAAGGTGAATGCGAGATAGAAGGAAATTTCAACTAAATATCAAAACTTTTTTTTTCGATCTTTCTTTCCTGTCTTGCTCTCTTTGGCAAGCTTGATTTCTGCTTATTTGGGAAATGTGTCAATGGTATTCCATGGTGAAGGAAGCATTCTGGATTTAAACATTTTCCCAGCTCATGAAACTGTTGTTTTTAACAGAAAAATATGCCATCCTCTTCTCTTTCCCACATGATGTGCATTATTCTCATGTCAATCACTTGATTTTCTGTGTTTCAACTTTTAATTTCATGTCCTTTATTTGCTGTGCAGCCTGGTTATGAGCGGCTCTGCTGCTTACGGTGCATCCAGCCTCGGGACCACAATTTCGCTACCACATGCGTGTGTCGAGTGCCCAAGCATTTGAGGGAGGAGAAGGTGATAGAGTGCGTCCATTGCGGTTGCAGGGGTTGTGCGAGTGGAGATTGATCACTCACCTCCAATGTGCGCAATAAATATCTACTTTGTTTCTGCATGCTCTTGGGGGACACGCTAGGAGTCATTAGGTTCTCCAGAGTTTTATGTTTATTTCCGGGAAACTCTCCGGTGGATGGAGTGTTGTATGCTTAGCATTTGACTGGGAAGACCAATCGACCGACCCGAGACAAACTCAGTTGACTTTATATTGCTTATCTACTCACTCCTTCCAATTCGCGGAATATTAAAACAATGAAATCCATATTGTAATCTTGCTCATGGTTGGTTCATTTTGTTCATTGATTCCGGTTAGGAAGGGTAATTTAACTTCTTTTAAGGCCACAACTTGGGAAGTCAGCTCAGATTGTCTCAGGCCCAGGAGTGAGTACCTATGAAATTTTTAGCATTTGTTTTGGGCTTATATTTTCCTTCATCTTTGGTTGAAAGAATTTTTTTATTAAATTACCCCTGAGTGATGGGCTACAGATTATGGATCTCACATATGTGCAAATTCAATAGTATATGAATGCAGATGATGTTCATGTTTATACGCCACCAATCCAGAAAATGATTGGAAAGTTTCCTTCATACCTTTTGGTTCTTCAGCCACGCATGAAGGATTAGTTCATTGAAGTTACACACATGGCCTCATTCCTAGTTCGTGTTGGTTCCTTAGCATTGGGCCAGAAGCCTGTTCTGCAGTGTCTAGCATCAACCCAAATTTGAATCCCAGCAGCATGCTCTGCTTTTGCAAGTGCTTTTATGCTACAAGCGGAGGAGATTCACTTGTATAGCTGGTGCTAACAATTGTGGGTTCGGACCTCTTAGGACACGCGATCAATTCAATCGGGTCTTTGCAGTTTGCGATCCTCTTTTTGCCGGGGCTCCCTTTGGATTCCTCAAAAAATCACATTCATCGGGATTTGAAGCCATGTCCCGTGAATCCATAGCCGAGGTTGCGATTTAGGCTCCATTCGTTTCGCGGAAAACTTTTTTGAGAAAAGATTTTCCTCATTTCCGATATTCGGTTCACTTAAAAAAATGAATCAACGGAAAATGTTTTCCTAATCAACGTAAAACTTATGTTTAAATTCAGGAAAATGATTTCCTTTTTGAAAAAGTCGAAAAATATTTTTCAAAATATGATTGGATATTGAAGCTTGTACCTGAAACTCTACATTTAAACACGGGAAACCCAACGCTGGTTCCCGAGTCTCCAACGCCCAGGCCAGGTCCATCAAGGCCGGCCTAGGTCCATGAGGTCGGGCTCGGGCCCCCGACACCCATGCTTGGGTCCATCGAGGCTGGGCCCAAACTCCTGTTGCCCATGCCCTGTGCCTCGGCACCCAAGCCTGTATCCATAAAGGTCGAGCTTGAGTCCCCAACACTTGAGCTCTTGTCCCCAGCACTTAGGCGTGGGTCCACAAAGGCCGTGTGTGAGTCCTCGGCTCTCGGGCTTGGGTCCTTGAGTAATGAAACGTTCGTTCTTATAAGAATATTTTTACTAAAAAATTTGAATTTTTTTATTATTTTTTATATATTTTTCTTTTTTCTTATTCCTCTGTAGCTGGTCGTTGGCCGTCGCCATGGCCAACGACCGGTAGAGATAGAAGGAAAAAGAAAAATAAAAGATAATTGAAAATTCGAAATTTTTGATATTTTTTTCCAAGAAAATCAAGTCAGATTATTCATGCTAAATGGCGAAAAATATTTTCTTCCTCATTTTCAGGTTTCAGCCAGACATAAAAAAATAATGTCATTTTAACTTCTTGAAAAACATTTTCCATAAATGTTCATATTTTTCGCGAAACGAACGGAGTCTAATTTTACGTCTTTTACTTCTAACCCCCCAAGAGGGGAGAAAGCACATCCCCAAAATTCCTCTAAATAGGCGATGCAAGTCAAAGGGTGTTGCTGCTAAGAAGGCGGTCCTCACCCAAAATGACAAAGTCCTCAGGAAACTCCCATTAGAAAGAAAGTCCTGAATTGGAAGACCAAGACCAATAGAGTTTGAAAGGAAAAAGATCAACTGTGGAAAACACCCCATTTTTTCTTCGTCTTGTGGAGAAGAGGAAGGAAATGTGAACAAGACAAAGAGGAGAAGGTACAGAGAAAGTTCTTTGGCATCCTCCCACTCACAGCAGTCAATGTTGGGTGAGCGTGCACGCAACTTCCATCGTATCCCCACAAGCACCCAAAAAACAGACCGGAAGAGACCACCTCTTACGCAACTTGACTCATGCTCAAAGTCACCACTCCACTACCCCACACACTCACACACACGTACTAGAGTACTAAAGTGATCCAGGAGCATTAACTAAACTTCATCAACAAATTTAGCACCGTCAATCTTCATTCAAGCAAAGGTAAATTTTGATTATAACTTGCTTCGGTGGATCATTGATGAGGAGACTATCGACCGAGTTACCGATTATAATTATCGGTACCTATTTTGAAACTAATCAATAACTTATCGAAGGGAGACTGTTCCGAACAATTTCTTATGATAGATGACAATTTCCTTAGGTGATTATTTCCTGGTCAAGATTGGAGCACAAATTTTGGGAGATGAACCACAGGGTTAAAGAGTCAATATTTCAAGTCTTCGTGTCTTTATTGTACTTTATAGTTCGCTGGTCTTTGTCATTCTTAATTGTTATGAAGGTTTCAAGAATCAAAACCTTAGTTCCTAGATATTTAAATGCTTTCTAGTTCACAAGTATGATTGGATAGTTCCTATGTTTCTTTAATGTTTGCCTATTTCCTGAGTCTCAGCCCCTCTATATATTGAGGAGAGTTCTCTATTGTAATGCAGAAGATTTTGATGAATGAAAATATATGAGATTTTTCCTTCGTGTGAGTGAATATCTTTGGAGAGTGGATAATTCCTATATCGGTTTCTTTATCCTTGAAGAATGAATTACTCACCGCCAAGAAGCGTTTTATCCTCGGCTAATGGTTTCCCTTTAGGCCCTTGTGGTGAGCTTCTTCTATCCCAAAGTCCTGTATCCTTGGCTGGTGGCTTGTCCTTTAAGCTTCGGTAGTGAACTTTGTCGATCCCGATCTTCATCCTAGGTTAGTGGCGCGTCCTTTATACCTTGGCGGTGATTGTAATTTATCCTCCGTTTTCATTTTACCCAACGACATACATCCCCGCAAACATGTACCCATCCATACACATAATCCAAAAAACCTCATTTCCAAAATCACTCGCCTATGCACGCATCATGGAGCACACCTCCTGATAAAATAAACTCTCCTGATGCAATCTATGAATGGAATATAAATGGTGATGCTGAGAATAAAATTATCAACACATCAACATATTAAATCAAATTGTCCAGGTAGTAACCAATGTTTATAAAGCTCGACAAGAAGTTTTTTGTCACGCTTTTGCTAATCTTTTATATATATAAAGAGTATTTGTCTTTTTTTTTTCTCCCTTTTTGCCCCTGTTTTATTCTTCCATTTTTTTTCCTTTTCTTCCTTTTCTAAAGTTGACTACTGGACAGCTGAAGTTTTTCGAAGGGTTTCACTTTTTCTTAGCCGGTAAGGGTGCGCATGGAATGCATTCCGGAATAAAAATTCTGTTCCGGAATGCATTCCGGAACAGAATGACGTTTGTTAAAAAATTTCCGGAATGCATTCTGGAGCGATTTTTGCATTCTGGAATAAAAATGCGTTTGTTAAAAATACTTGATTCCAGAATGCATTCTTGATTCCAGAATGAGTTTTTGGCAAGAAAAAGAGAAGCTACTTTTTGTAGCTTCTTGATTCCGGAATGCATTCTCCCTATTTTCTCACAATTTTTTTTTTCAGAAAATGCATAAAAATTAAAAAATTATAGAAAAATTCATAAAAATTTCCAGAAAATAAAAAAAAGTCAGATTTTGGGAAAATATGAAATTTGGTGAATTTTTTTTTAAAAAATAAAAAAAATAAAAAATTTCAAAACTCCACAGAATAGCTTAAAACATATGTGGCCACCCACTTTGAGTGAAATTTAAATTTTTTGAGGTGCCCAAAAAAATCAAAAATTTCAAAACTTCACAAAATGGCTTAAAATACCTGTGGCCACCTACTTTGAGTGAAATTTAAATTTTTTGAGGTGCCAAAAAAAAAGAAAAATAATAAAAAAATAAAAATTTTCAAAACTTCACAAAATGACTTAAACTACATGTGGCCACCCACTTTGAGTGAAATTTAAATTTTTTGAGGTACCCAAAAAAATATAAAAAATTTCAAAACTTCACAAACTGACTTAGAATACCTGTAGCCACCCACTTTGAGTAAAATTTTAATTTTTTGAGGTGCCCAAAAAAATAAAAAAATTCAAAACTTCACAAAATGGCTTAGAATACCTGTGGCCACCCACTTTGAGTGAAATTTAAATTTTTTTAGGTGCCCAAAAAAAATTAAAAAAATCAAAAATTTCAAAACTTCACAAAATGGTTTAAAATACCTGTGGCCACCTACTTTGAGTGAAATTTAAATTTTTTGAGGCGCCCAAAAAAAATAAAAAAAATAAAAAAATAAAAATTTTCAAAACTTCACAAAATGACTTAAAATACATGTGGCCACCCACTTTGAGTGAAATTTAAATTTTTTGAGGTACCCAAAAAAATATAAAAAATTTCAAAACTTCACAAACTGACTTAGAATACATGTAGCCACCCACTTTGAGTAAAATTTTAATTTTTTGAGGTGCCCAAAAAAATAAAAAAATTTAAAACTTCACAAAATGGCTTAGAATACCTGTGGCCACCCACTTTGAGTGAAATTTAAATTTTTTTAGGTGCCCAAAAAAAATTAAAAAAATCAAAAATTTCAAAACTTCACATAATGGCTTATAATACCTGTGGCCACCCACTTTGAGTAAAATTTAAATTTTTTTAGGTGAAAAAAAAATCAACAAATCAAAACAGATTTCTGTTCCATAAATCAATTTCTGGAGCAGAATTAGTCATGTTTTACCAAACAGATGTCTCCTCCAGAAATCAATTTCTAGCAAGAATTCCAGAAATCAATTTCTGGCAAGAATTTGATTTCTGGAGCAGAATGGTTACCATTCGCACCCTAAATGATGGGAATGAGATTTAAGTTCCATTTTTGGCATACCCCTTTTTTCCTTTCTTTCGGAGTGACTTCCTCGGCCTACTTTCCAAATTGGTCATGCTTGACGGGCTAAAAGCTCAGTATCAATTTTGAGTCATCCCCTTTCTTTCCTTTTCTTTTTTAGGTA